GGAGTTTAGGGCTGTTGTACATAGGGTCGCTATGAGTCGCAGGCGACTCGACGGCACATAACAACAACAACAACAAACAACCTTATCTTTATGCAATTGGCTACACTCTACTCAAAAAGACAAGGAGCCAAACACTGTCTTTTTCCACTTCCAGTAGCACAGAAAAAAATCTCATTTCATAAACCACACAATTCCTATATACTAGCAGCCCTAGTACTGGGAACTCTGGTAGCATTAGTGGTAAGAAGGTACACAGCAATCCTGAAGGCACGCAGTTTGAATCTACCAGCAGCTCCATGGGAGGATGGGCTACCTCCTCTCCTGAGATTAACTGCCTCTGAAATCTCACAGGAGACTCAGCTATAGTTTGGTTCTCACTTAATGGCACATAACAACAACAGCACTGAGGACGAATATCTCTAGGTCAGTAATCACTACACATATAAATTATATTTTAAGAAACTGGCCTTTTCCAGGTCTATATAGTATATTTAACAATACTTTGCTATATATATTAATACTTTATCTTATACGTCTTCATTAAAAATTAATCTTGAAAAAATCAGAAATTTTAATATTTACTTCATGTTTTATGTATTTTTTCAGTCTTTTCCTTTTAGAGCTCATACTGAAATACTATGGAGGAAATGATAGTGATTTGTTCTAAATTAACAGAAGGGATAGTAGAGTCAGAGAGAGTAAGTCTGTGAGTATGTGCGTAGGAAATGGGGCTTAGATGAAAAAATAAATGGGGCCTGAGTTGATAGATATGGAAGCTAAAGCTGTGTGATGAGTACAGAAAAAAATCACTATACTATTTTTTTATGTGCTTAAAATATCCATAATCAGTTGTAAAAAATATGAGTCTATTTGTTTCAAGTATCTAGGTGTATATTAAGGAGCTCTGATGGCCTACTGGATAAGGAGCTGTGCTGTCAACCCAAAGAGAGGCAGTTTGAATCTAACAATTGCTCCTTGGAGGAAAGATGGACAATCTCCTCCCCTGTAGTTTACAGCCTCTGCTGGAGGGTCAGCTATCAGTCAGTTCCGACTCGACAGCAATGAAATGGCAGAGTATATAACATGTTAGGCTCCTAACAGGTTGGCAGTTTGAACCCATCAGCTGCTCCAAGAGATAAAGATATACAATCTCCTTCCATAAAGATTTATTGCCCCAGAAACCTACAAGTCACACTCAATTTAATGATGACAAGGAGGTTGGCTTGGTTTAGATACATATTTGCTTTGTTAGCTTAATTTGCCTATTTGTTTAGTCTTTAATATTATAATGCATAAAATCCAAATCTATATCTTTTCATTGATATGCATTTATCTGGCACCACTTTGCATAAAAAGGCTTTGTGAATATAATGCAGTTTACTAAGAAATAATAACTGAAGCAAATGACTGATTTTGTTTAGTCAAGTCTATAAAGGCTACAAGAGTTCAGCAGCTATTTCTATGGATAAGACAGACATTAAGCATTTATCCATCAAATAGAGCATGTATAACATAGATATACCTGGCAAGCAGATCGGAGAAACTGAGATAATCTGGGTGTATCAATCTTTGGTACAACTGTAGCATCAAAGATAGCTCTATTTTCACTACCTAGAAAAAGAGGGGAAGAATGTTACATAAAATCAACAATGGAGACTCTAAAATAGTCATGCATTGCACAAATTAGTGCTCACAGAGCTATAATAAATGAACATTTAGAATATTAGCAGGAAAAGTCAAAAACTTTATATTTCATTTTCTAGTTCAACGGTGTTATTTTCTAAAGTTACATCTTGTTTTATACAAAGTCATAAACTGAAGTCTTCTTAAATATATTGAGGAGAATAGTAAAGGAAATAAAATTTCATTATTATAGGTCAGTTTCCAATTTAGGTGTATTTTCTTAAGGTAAGTCTACACTGAGAAAAAGATATCAATATCTCTGCTTACTGGTCTATTTGCTCAAGAAAAACAATTCAACATGAAAAGGTATATAACATTTAAATAAATATAAAGTACAATGCAGGTTAGTCTGTATTCTGAGAACCTTTAATCTATATTGCTAGGGCATATTTGGAAACGATACTTCAAATAAGAATATAATATAGTTAGAACAGAATGCCCTGAAGTTAAAAACAGAATATAAAAAGAATATATACAAAAGTCCTTTTATAAAATGGTTGTTTGAGATGTACCTTCTTTGTATTCAAGGATAAAAAAGAAACAAAACAAAAACCAAAAAACAACCAACAATATAAATCATGTCCCAGGTCTTAAAAGGTAATCTAATCCGTTCTGGAATTCAACAGTTTTAATATTAGCCCTGGGCCCTGCGCCCTCCAATCCTGGAGCACTGTTAAAGCCCTATGAAGAGACATCAAGGTGACACAGGAGAAGCAGACCGGGAGGCGGGGTACTGTGTGGCCTCGGGGCTCAACAGCAGGGCAGCTCTGGCTGTGAGTGTGCAGGCTGCCAGAGTTATGTGCTGATTACTGGAGTCCTTGGTATTTTGTTCTAAAAATCCAATTAAGTGGCTCTTTAATACAAAACGAATGTGTTGGTATTTTAAAGCAATCACTTACTAAATATGTAGCTACAGGATTATAGGGTTAATTTATATGTTAAGAGAATATTAAAAAAATGTAAAAGAGAGTATCATTCACTAAGTACTTTTTCTACTGACATAAAATTCTATCTTAAGTGCATATATTAACCTTGTAAAAAGAGATGTGTAGTTTTGATGAATATTGTTGTTGTTAACTGCTATGGAGTTGAGTACAACTCTTAGCAACCCTTAAGAACAATAGATCTGAACCCTGTTCTGTAACTATAGTTGTTTGTCTAATGTTCATAGAGTTTCCAAAGGTATGTTGTTTAGGAAGTGGATGCCAAGCCTGCTTCCAAGCCTGTCTTAATCTGGGAGCTCCACCAAACACTGTCCACCATGGGTTGTCATTATGGCATGTGACACACCAGGGGCACTGAAGGAAGAATATAGCAGTTGTGCCTCCCCCCAAATTGATCTCTTTCATTGAAACGTGATAACATCTGAGGCAGTAAGATCTAAGACCAGACCAGACAATGGATCCTAATAAGCCTCTGAGCCTGATCACAAAAGCTCAAAACCAATTTAAATAACACCCCAAATTCCGAGAAATACCATCTTCCCTAGTCCTCCCCAGGACCCCTATAGGAAGGAACTGCCTCTAATTGCCCACACCATTTTGACTTTCTCTGCTCGTGGTTACTTGGTATCCCTCTCTGATCACGAAATAAAAGCCTGTTCATTTCTTGGAACCAGTTTGGGTTTTTTCTCTCTCTCATCTTCAACTCTTTTTCTAACAGGCATAGGGTTCAGTATCACAGCAAACCCAACTTACCTCTGTACAGCAAGATGACAAGACCAGTGCTGTGCCACTTAGAAGAATGTGCTTCCTAAACACAATTAACACCAGGCCCAAGGACACAACCAATTTTTAAATACAAAGGCCCACCCATCAGGTCCTGATTGACTTAAACAAGAGGCTTCCAGCCCACAGCTGATTGTTAGCTAAATCCAGTAAATATTGTCACAGAAAAAAAGTCACAAATGAAACTGTAATTACTTATGGAAGTTACAAAGGGTGATAAGTTAGAGTGAGAACAAGAAGGAGAAGCAACTAATAACATCCTTGGTTTGTCTGGCTTATCTTTTTACAAAAACCAAAAACAAATAGAGCCTTTTAGGCTTGTGGGTATACACACATACATACATACATACATACATACATACATACATACATACATACTTACATACATACATACACATGTTCCTTCTCTAACTGACCACAGTCATGAAGTTCTAGGAAATTAAAATTGTTCAAATAAAGCTAAATTCTTCATCAGTAGTAGGAATTCAGATTGTTCCTTGAAAACAATATGGAGCATTTCCATAGTCACATATTAACATATATACAAAACCAGGAAAAATTAAAAAGAGTAAGAAAGATACTAAGGGAATGAGGAAAGATCAACAGCAGAAAAATGTTTACCTCCAGATACAATTGCACTTTCTCCTGGATGCTGGGTCCACACTTCCCTTGTCTCTATTTCATCTGTCTGAATATCTCTTTCAACATTATCTTCATTATATTGAACATATGCCTTAAAAATAAATGTATGTAAATCATTGAAGTTAACAAATTGAAACAATCCATGGAGTGAGAAAAAATGTGGGAAAACCTTATATTTTTATCTAGAACAGAAAAAGAACTACTGCTTAATAAAAACAACACTCCAGTCAAAAATAGTCAAAACACCTGAATAGGGAAAATACACAAAGAGAAAATAAGCACAAGATAATGATGTCCTGCATCATTATCCACGGTGATGTTGTTGTTGGATACCATCAAGTTAAATCTCACTCCCTGGGGACAAATGCCTCATACAGTCTTCTTGGTTATAATCCTACAAAACACAGATCACCAGCCTTTTCCCCATCAGCTGGTTCAAACTGTCAAGTTTCTGGTTAATAGAGAAGTACTCAACCACTGTGACAACAAAGAGCCTTCATTAGTCACTAGTTATTAAGGAGTAACTGGCCAACTGACTAGAAGAGATCTGTATTTGTTTCTATTCCCAAGAAAAGTAACTCAACATAAAGTGAAAATAATATACCAATATTATTACCACATGCAAGCAAAATATCGCCAAAGAGCCTTCTAAAACAGTTCATTGGCAGTGAATTGTCAGAAGTTCAATGTGGTTTTAGAAGAGGCTGTGGCAGTGGGGATATCACTGCAGTTGTCTAATGGATTCTTGTTGAAAGCAGAGAATACCAAAAAGATGTTTACTTGTGTTTTATTGACACTGTAATGGCATTTGACTGTGTAAATCACAACAAACTATGGCTAACATTGAGGAAAATAGGAATTACAGAACAATTACTAAACTATGCCCATATGAAATTTATACATAGATTAAAAAACCTATTATCTGAACAGAACAAGGGAACCCTGCATGGCTTAAAATCAGGAAAGGTATGTATCAGGGCTATATGCTGAGCAAATCATGAGGGAAACTGAACTTTATGAAGAAGAATGTGGCACGATGATTAGAGGAAGATTCACCAACAACTGCATTATACAGATGACACATCTTTGCTTGAAACTGAGGAAGCCTTGAAACACCTGCTGCAGGAGATCAAATCCATGTCTTCAACATGGATTACATCTCAACACGAAGCAAACAAAAATCCTCACCACTGCGCCAACAGGCAACATCATGATAAACAGAAAAAAGACTGAAATTCTCAATGACTTAATCTTACTTGGATCCACAATCAACACTCTTGGTCCCAGCAGTGCAGAGATTAGAAAATGTATAAGAAAGTGTGCTGTCAGGGACCTCTCCAAAGTGCTAAAGAACAGAGATGTCAGTTTAAAGATTAAGACACGCCTGATTCAACCCATGTTTTTCCAATTACCTGCTATGTTTCGGAGAGCTGAACGATGCATAAGAATGATGGGGGGGGGGCGGAATTGATATCTTTGAGCTGTAGTGTTGGAGAAGTGTACTCACTACCCCTTGGACTGCCAAAAGAACAAATAAGTCTTGGAGCAGGTGCAACCAAAGAGTTCCTGGGAGGGAAGGATGGTGATGCTTCATATCGCATACTTTGGGTTTGTTTATAGGAGAGGCTATTCCTTGGAAAGAGGCATCATCAGAACCACAACAAGATAAAGGCAAATAATCCAATTAAAAAATGGGCACAGGATATGAACAGACACTTCACCAAAGAAGACATTCAGATGGCCAACAAGCACATGGAAAAAACTGTTCAAAATCCGTAGCTCTAAGAGAGATGCAAATTAAAACAACTATGAGATATCATCTCACCCCAGTCAGAATAGCAAAATTTAACAGAACAGCAAGCAACAAATACTGGCAAGTTGTGGAGAAACTAGAACCCTTATTCATTGTTGATGGGAATGTAAAATGGTGCAACCACTGTGGAAGGCGGTATGGCGCTTTCTCAAAAAGTTGCAAATAGAGATACCATTTGACCCCAAAGAGACCATAACTGACATCCAAGCAGATGCATGCACACCCATGTTTATCACGGCTTTGTTTACAATAGCAATGAGTTGGAAACAACCCAGGTGCCCATCAACAAACAAATGGATAGAGAAGCTGCGGTATATTCACACAATGGAATACTATGCTGCATTGAAAAACAAGGAACTCATGCAATATTATTCAAAATGGATGAGCCTGGAGGATATTATGCTGAGTGAAATATCTCAGTTGCAAAAGGACAAATACTGCATGGTGCCACTGTTGTAAAATGGGACTGATATCAGGGTTGGGGTAAGACAGAGAAAAACTTGATAAATTGTGTATACTGCACTGAAACTGATGAGGGAGAGAATAATTTAAAAGTGATGTATGACAGGGCACTATGGTTATCACAAGAGTCCAAAATTAAGGTTGCATAGTGGAATGTACTTGGGGCGGTGGAACTGTGTTACCAGGGAGGGAATTTTTCTTTGACTTTTCAAAGAGAGAAGCGAACTGGGGGTTTGAGAGGGGGAGAGGGCTGGGCGGGGAGAGAAGTGCAGCAATGAATGAATGGAAATCTAAAATCTCTGTAAATGTTCATTAAAATTACTAAAATAAAATAATAATTACAAAAAGAAAAAGAAAGAGACACCATCCTTAGAAAGGTGAAGAGCCGGTGAAGGAAAAGAAGAACCTTAGTGAAACAGATTGAAAAATGCAGCAATGGGCACTAGGGTGTTGGCGCAGGATAGGACTCTCTGTTGGTCACAGGGTAGCTATGCACCGTACACATCTCTATGGCACTTAACAGTAAAAACTACGATGAAATACAGCTCCCCTAAACCCTACCCTTACCCATTAGAATTTTTCTATTAAAAAAGGGGGAAGCAAGAATGTAAACAAAAATCTGTGCAACAATGTTCACTGAAGAATGATTCACAATAGTTAAAAGAGGAAAACAACTGAAATGTCCATCTAAAGATAAAGAAATAAATAAATGGTGGAATATACACCAAAGGAAAATGAGTAAATCATAAAAAGAATTGAAACCTTGATGCAAGACACAACATGGTTAGACCTTGAAAGCAAGCTGTTAAAGTAACTCAGACCAAAAAGGACAGTACTGTGTGATCGCACTTAGGTAAAATAGGAAAATATATGGAAAATTAACTTTGCTGGTGCTTACCAGAGGTGAGATGAAGGGGAAAACGGGCCTTTTATTGATTAGTGGGGCCAATGGTGATAGAAAAAGACCGAGAATGGTTGAGCAATATGAAAAATATAATCATTATATTTGTAAAAATTGTTACCTTGACAAATGTATTCATATATATTTTTAACACAGTTTAAAATATTAAATAAATTTTTAAAAAATCTTAAGAATATACAAGTATACTGGGATTAACACTTAGTCTTAAATTCAGGGCAATTCTCTTTATTAAAAATAAAAACTTTTCAAAACCTTATAAAAACAATCTTCTAGTTGGTGTTGAAAATAAGTATGGTATAGGTAATTAACAAAAACTTCTATCTCAAATATATGATAAATGTAAAATCTAATTTTTTAAAATGTTAAATGTTTCAAAAAATCACCTCAAACAATTCCTACTCAGGAACTTTGTAAAATAATTTTTTGTTTTAATTATTTCAAAAGTAAAGAAAGTTTTGGGAAGAGGAAAAAAGAAAAGATTCCATATTCTATTCAAGGTCACCCAGAGTGAGCTGCTTGCAAAGCCAGGATTAAAATCGTCAGCTTCTCGCATTTCATACTGTCACTCTCTTCCTATTAAAAGAGTATTATTTATTGAATTTGCTCAACGTATCATGGCAAGACTGATGCTGCTCCTATCAGAGGCAGCAAGAAAAAAAAACCATGAAATTTTATTCCTACTTCAAAAATTATACGATTCTGTTGGGAAATTGAAATATCATATCAATTAATGGAAGCCAAACAGGAAAGTATAACATGAGGGAAGGATTAATATAGCAACTGTTGAAGTGAGAGGCAGACAGAAATCAATGTTAACAGTTAAGAGGGATCCACACAAAGAAGCTGGACTTAGAGGAACAGATAGGTGAGTAAAGAGAAGCAAGGAGGAAAGCATAATGAATGGTTAAGAAAATCCTGACACATGAACAGATGAGTAAAAGAAGGTGCGGGGGGATTGTATACCAATGAAGAAGTTTTTCTTTTGCTTTTAAAGAAGAGCGAACTGGAGGTGGGGGTGGGGCGGGCGGGGAGAAAAGTGCAACAATGAATGAATGGAAATCCACAATATCTGTAAATGTTCATTGAAATTAATAATAAAAAAAAGATGGTAATCAGAAACACAAATAAGACAAAGCAGAATATTAAATTAGAACTAGATTAAGGAGAGCCCTGGAATGTAACAAAAGCAATGTGATCTTTGAATTATAAGAATTTTATACAGATGAATATAATTGCTATATTCTCACCAAGAAACCAAAGAAACACATTTAAAGCCTGACCTTCTAACTTTAAATAAACTATATTCAAATGATCTCTATATATAATAGCTACAAATGATCATGCTATATGGAATACAGCATGATCATTTGTAGCTATTATATATAGAGATCATTTGTCAATGATATGAAATGTGACTGGAATATCTATTTTGATTTCTAATTTGCTTATCATTTTGTATGAAAAGGTACTGCTTTTCCTAGGTCTTTATACTTCATAGACCATTCCCAAACTCTAGTATCTTGAAATAAGATACAAGTGAGGCACAAAATACCTTTATTGCCTTTTAGTTGTAATTTGTTAATTAGTTAATAAATCTTGTACTGACCTGCTTGGTATTCTTTCTCCCAAAGTTTCTGATATACATGTCATATTCATTTACTGGTGGTAAATCCAAGAGAGAGAAAGTAAATGAAAAATCCAGGTCAATAAGTCGAAGTAGCTTCGTACTGCGTGTTCTTAAAAATAAATTAGAAACAAGATAAAAATAACATTTAATACATGCAGGGAAGTTGCATGAGAACTTGGGCTTCTCTGCTGGCACAGGCCTTACAGAACTACACCGCTAGCCCAAAGGCTGCACTTCTCTAGAGGTTCGAATCCAACAAGTCCACGGGACAAAGATGGCCAATTGACTCTCATATGATTTACAGCCTCAGAAAGAGGGTAGAGCATTAGCTAGAAGTGGGAAATGCCATGATGCCCCTGAGCTTGAGTTTTTGGTTTCTACATTTATAATGTCACTGTTGTATGCCATTAAGTCCCAATTGTCTCACAGCTGACCCTCCAGCAAGGACATTTCCATTTCCTGGCATTTCTTTTCAGCTTCCTCTTTACAATGTTTATTTATGTCTATACATTTCACTATTTAGTTCAAATTGCACTTCATTAAAGAGTAAGTGCTAGACAGACTTATCTCATGCACGTTCTCAAAACATCCCATAAACATATTAAACATAGTTTGATGCATGCCACCCTGCTGGGTTATAAACTTCTTGAAGTTTAGACACTTCTTTTCCATTACTTTTCTTAATCAGAGACTGTAAATTGTACTGAAGGAGATTGTCCATTTTTCTCCTGCTGAGAAGCTGGTTGATTAGAACTTCATGTCATATACACACTTCAAATCCACCAGGTGCTCTGAGGGAAAAGGATGGGGAATCTCCTCTTGTTTAATTTATTGCCTCTGAAAACCCACTGGAGTCAGCCAGGAGTGAGTTCCTACTTGAAGGTGTACAACAAAATATGTGAGATGAAGCTTCACTCTCCTTTCATCCAAGGAGCACTCTAGTTGCACTTTCTCCCAGCTAATAGCTAGTTTAAAAACAACATTTTACCCTTCTTTCAAATCCTTATCATTTTCATTTCTTTTTCATGATTTCTTAAAGCTGATTAGGATCTCTACAATGTTGAATAGAATTACTGATAGTAGATATCTTTACTTCAATCCAGACAACTAATGGTTCCAATGTTTCTACAATTATGCATAATTGCTAGTTTAACCTTTACCAGATAAAAGAGGTTTCCTTACATTCCTAGCTTGCTAACAACTGTATATATGGAAGATGGTGGAAGATGGTGGCACAGTGTACAGTGTTTCTGTTTGTTAAGCAAAAGATCAATAGTTTGAATACAACCGTCATTCAACAGGGACCATAAAGATTTACAACCTCAGAAATTGGATGGAAGGTCATTATGAATTGGAATCAACTAGGGAGCAGTGGGTCTGGATTTGGGTTTTATGAAAGGTATTGGTCTCATTATTGTAGAAATATAAAGATAACAAGCAAAACATGTATGAGGATCCAAGGGGGGACCGTGGGAGCAAAGGAGTGAGGATAGAGGATGGTAATCATAGGGTCACACAAATTGATGGGTGGAGGGAGGAGTGGGTAAAGGAAATGGGAAAGACCCAGTGTGAAAAACAATGCATAGAATGTTTTAAGTAAACCAGTATAAAATAAAAATTTTATTTAGATAAAAAGAAAGATATTGGTCTCTAATTGTCCTTAGAAAGGTCCTTATCAAATTATGATAGCAAAGTTTTACTGTCAATGCAACAAGAGAGTGAGACTTCTTTTATTATTCTCAGAAATTGACAAATATGGGTATTCATTTGTTTCTCAAATGAGGAGGGTAGGCAGTTCAAGGCCACCAATTGCTCCATGGGAGGCAATCTCCTCCTGTCTGAATACTGCCTCTGAAAAGCTGCTGGAGGGTCACCTATAGGTCGGTTCCGACTCTACAGTACACAACAACAACTATTCAAATGAAAAGAACTGACCAAAAGAGAAATTTATACATAGAGTTCACTTTGAGGAAAAGTTTTAAATATTTTATTATATATATATTTAATGGTGGTGTTATTGTGTACTGTCAAGTTGGAACTTACCTATACTTGACCCTCCAGTGGGTTTTCAGAGATGGTAAATCACACAAGAGGAGAATGCCCAACCTCCCAGGGATGGATGTGAATCATACACTTTTGAGTTGGCAGTGTAATTCCTTAACATTGAGCCACCAGAGCATCAAATTGACTGAGATCCACATTTATTTTCATTCCCAATAAACGTGATCTACCAGAATGTGAAAATTATAAAAAATATTACTAATAGCACATATAAGCAAAATCTTGATGAAGTTTATCCAAAAATGACTAGTACATCCACAGAAAACTGCCATAAATACAAGCTGTGTTTAGAAGATGCTGTGGCACTAGGGATATCACTGCTGAGGGATACTGGGAGCAGAGAGCACCAAAAATATGTCTGTGCTTTATTGACCATGCAAAGGCATTTGATTGTGTAGATTACAACAAAGTGCTAACAAAGAGAAGAATGGGGATCCCAGAACACTTAATTGTGCTCATGTGAAATTTATACCTAGACCAAAAAGCTGCTGTCAGAACAGAGCAAAGAAACACTGCCTGGTTCAAAATTAAGAAAGGAGTGAATCAGGGATATATCCTTTCTCCAAACATTTTCAATCTATATGCTGAACAGGTTATTCAAGAAGCTGGATTTTATGAAAATGAATGTGGCATCGGGATTGAAGGAAGTCTCATCAAAAGTGTTATGCAGGTGACATAACCTTGCTTGCAGAGAGTAAGGAGCACTTGAAGCATTTACTACTGAAGATCAATTACTGGAGCCTTCACTATGGACTGCACCTCAACATCAAGAAGACAAAAGTCTTCATCACGATGCCAGAAGGCAGCATCATGACAGATGGACAAAAAATTGAGGTTGTTAACAATTTTATCATGCTTGGATTCAGAATCCAAAACCTTGGAACTAGCAGTCAGGAAATCAAAAGACAAGATGCAATGGAAAAATCTGCTGTCAAGGATCTCTCCAGAGCGCTAAAGAGCAATGATGTCAGACTAGAGACTAGGTTCACCTGATCCAGGTCATGGTCTTCTCAGTTGATTGCTACTCATCTGAGAGCTAAACAATGACTAAGGATGACAGAAGAAGAAATGATGCCTTTGAGTTGTAGTGCTGGAGAAGAGTACTGACCATACCAGGGGATGTTAACAAATAGGTCTGTCCTGAAGAAGGTGAAACCAAGTTGCCCAATGGAGGCAAAGATTTTGAAGCTCTTTCTCATACTTTGGGCTTGCTCCAAGGAGGGACCAGTCCTTGCAGAAGAGCATAAAGCTTGGTAGGGTAGAGGGTTAGTGTAGTAGAAAAAGACTCCAAATGAGATGGATTGCCACCGTGACTGTGGTAATGGGATCAGGTGTGCTAAAGACAGTGAGGATGATTCATGATAGGGCAAAATTCATAGTTGTTGTTCATCAGGTGGCAATGAGTTAGTCTCAAATGCACATAACAACATATATTAAAATAATATGTAACTCTTCATATTTTCTATTACTTCATTGACTGACTTTCCTAAGTTGTATTGCTCTGTGAGTTTATTCATTTCATCTAAATTCTTATACGGATGTTCATAATACTATCTTATTATCTTTTTAACACAATTTTATTCGTTTCTATTCTTTATTTCATTACTTTTTTTTTTTTGCCATGAGGTGGGTTTTATTTTCATTAATCATACAAATAATTTTCTAGAATAGCCCAGGGCAAACCGGAGACTTCGGTGGTCCCTTCAGAGACCCGCAGGCCGGTGGCAGGGCGCGGCGTGCCCGGGTTCACAGTGCAGCTCGTCGCTCGTGCCCATCCTGCAGGTGGCTCTTCCTCCACATCACGACTAGGGTGTCGCACATGACGTGGGCGGAGACCATTGCAGGATCCTAGGACATCTCACTTCACTTCTCCTGCTCGATGGTCTCTTTGGTAGGCAGGGTATTCTTCTCCTGCGTACTTTTGATCTCTAATCCCTTTTACATTTCTTCTTTGAATCACTGTTTCTAAACAGTGCTTAATTCTCTAATCGGGGATTTTAATTCCTTTTTTATTACTGATATCTACATTGGTCAGAAAACATACTATAATTTTAATCATATGTTTCATTTGTTTAATATTATACTATATTTTCATAAATATTCCATGTATACTTGAAAAGAATATAGATATTAAAGTTACTAGGCATAATTTTCTACATTCACTATCAAGTTGCTCAAATCTTACACACATCCACCACAATTTTGTCTCTTCTTTCAGGTACTAATGTTGTTGTTGTTGTTGTTGTTGTTGTTGTTGTTGTTGTTGTTATGTGCCGTCCAGCCGTCTGCGAATCATAGCGACCCTATATACAACAGCCCTAAACTCTGCTCTGTCCTGTGCCAATCGCACTATCTCTGACACTCCCATCCCAATTATTCCAGTCACTGAATCAATCCACCTCATAGAGGGCCTTCCTCTCCTGCGCCGTCCCTCC